TCCCTCGATAAAGGTCCGATATCCAAAATATACAAAGAACTCATATGACTCAATAACAACAAAAAATCAAACATCCCAATAAAAAAATGAGCAGAGGACCTGAACAGACACTTTTCCCTAGAGGACATACAAATGGCCAACAAATATATGAAAAGATGCTCAACATTGCTAGCTATTAGGAAATGCCAATCAAAACCACAATGAGATACCATCTCACACCTGTTAGAGAAGACATAATCAACAGGACAGGTAATAAATGTTGGAGATGTTGCGGACAAAAAGGAATCCTCATACACTGCTGGTGGGATTGCGAATTGGTACAGCCACTATGGAAAACAGTCTGGAGATTCCTCAAAAAATTAAGAAAACCCTAAAGACTGCACAAGAATTGATCTACCATAAGATCCAGTAATCCCTCTCCTGGGTATTTACCCCAAAGACTTTAAAACCCATATCCGAAAAGGTATTTGCACAGTGATGTTCATAGCAGCATTATTTGGCCAGGCCAGGACGTGGAGGCAACTGGAATATCCTACGATAGATGATTGGCTAAAGAAACAGTGGTACGTATATACAATGGAATATTACTCAGCGAAGAGATGACAGCATTATTCACAGTGGCCAGGACGTGGAGGCAACTGGAATATCCTACGATAGATGATTGGCTAAAGAAACAGTGGTACGTATATACAATGGAATATTACTCAGCCATAAGAAGAGATGAAATACTGCCATTTGCGACAACATGGATGGATCTCGAGATAATCATGCTAAGCAAAATAAGCCAGACAGAAAAAGTAAAAAATCACATTATATCACCTATATGCAGGATATAAACCTAAAAGCAACATAGTGGTTATCAGAGGATAGAGGGTGAGGGATGAGGGGTGAAGTGGATGGGGTAAAAGGGGTCAAACATACGGTAGCTGAAGGAAACTGGACTTTGGGTGGTAAAAACAATAGAATATATAGATGTCAAATTATAATGTACACCTGAAAATTACATAATTGTATTAACCGATGTTACCTCAATAAACTGAATAATACTAAAAAAAAGTTTGATCTTGCAAAAAAGTGGAAGCCCTATAAGGAGAAATAGAGAAAACCACCATTTTAAGAGAAAATTTGAACATAACTTCTTTTAGTAATGTGAAACAGATATGCTCAGTATATGTACATAGCTACGCATTTTACATGTGTGCACATATATACCTCTTATTTTTTTTTTGTTCAGATGTGTGTTTATTCACATTGTTTATTCAAAGATGACTGTTTACCCTTTTCAGTGACATTCAACAAATGAGAGAGACTTTCAGCCAACCTTTTTATTTTCTAAAACTTGTGTTTAGTAACCAATTTTTAAGAGATATGGTTGGCCCCATTAAATGTGAGAAAAATGATGTTGCTAATTTTATTTGATGAAATAGATAAATTTGTTAATATTCTATTCAATGCTACTGAAATTTGCTAGAATAGCTTGGTTGTGCTATTTCGATGATTGGTTACACTAACAACACTCAGTGGTTCTAGGAAGAGTCGGTATTCTATAATGCTGCATCTAGTTTGAAATGAGAAGGAACTGGGGAAGAGGACATGAAACATAACAAAATAGATTGAAAACATCTCAGCTAAAACAAATCTATTCTAGTTATCAGGGATACCCGTGTATCTTTTGCCCAGTAAGTTCTTCTGAAATTATGTTGTTGAGGGTTTCCCTCCAGTCTATCCTCTGAAAGATATTCCTATGGAACATAAAGATAATTTACTCGGTTGTAACTTTTGTGAGTGTGTGAATTTTTATTTATTACAGTATTTAAAAACATTTATTTTTTTATCTTATTTCCTTAGGGAGCTGGTCTCTCAGTTCACGGACAATTCCGAGTAGCTACAGAAAAGACTGTTTTTGCAATGCCAGAAACTGCAATAGGTAAAAAAAATAAAAAATATTTTCATAATTACTTTTAGAATCATCTTTGATCCACATCAGATTATAGTATTGTTGAAGGATGATGGAATCTTGTATGAGATAAAGCAATGAAATAACTTTTAAAAAGAAATTAGAATAGGACGATACCTAAAAATTTGTATTAGCTCAGTAAGTATATCTGAAAACACAAAAGCAAGAATGTTTAACTGGAGATGCTAAAATACTGTAGTTAATTTTAGATAAAAGATTATTAAGGGAAGATATTCTTGGATTCAAATATCTATTTTGAATTTTTTGCATATACTATGAGGTATAGATCAAAGGTGTAGATCAAAAGTTTATTATTTTGTGTATGGAGATATAATAGTTCCCACCTCATTTTTTTTAAAGCTATTGTTTGTCCACTGATTGCTTTTGCACCTTTTTTATATGTGTTGATCTTGGTGCCAATACCACAATGTCTTAATTGTTGTTGCCTTAAAGTAAGTTTTGATAGTGACTTTATAGTGACTTGATCAGATAGTGACAATCTTCTAATGTTGTTCTTTCCTCCCCCAAGTTGTTTTGACGGTGCAGATGCTTTGTATTTCTACATGAATTTGAGTATTTGTCAATTAAAATAGAAAAGCCTGTTAGAATTTTCATTTGGATTGTCTAGAATCTGTCTTTTTAGGGAGAATTGACATAATAGAGTCTTTGGACCTGTGAGCATGGTATATTTATTTAGGTCTTTAATTTCTTTAAGCCAAGTTTTGTAGTTTTCTGTGTATAGGTGTTACACATCCTTTTTCAGATTTATTCTTAAGCATTTCATATTGTTTGATGCTATTGTAAGTGATATTTTTAAAAATTCAATTCTAATTGTTAGTTACCAATATATAGAAATACAGTTGATTTTTTTTTTTTATTGACTTTGTATCCTGCATGCTTGTGAAGCTCACTTATTAGTTCTAGTATATTTTTTTGTAGATTGCATTGGAGTTCCTAAATAGATAGTTGTCATTTACAAATAAAATGAGTTTTACTTTTTCCTTTCCAATCTGTATTTTTTTCCTTGCTTTATTACATTGGGCAGAATCTCCAATACAGTGTTGAACAGGAGTCTTGAGAGTAGACATTCTTGCCCTTTTCTTGCTCTTTGGGGAAAACAATCAGTTCTTCGGCAATTAAGTATATTGTAGCTTTTTCATAGATGCCTTTATCAGGATGAGGAAGTTTCCTTCTATTCCTAGATTGCTGAGGGTTTTTATTAGGATTAGAATTTGAGTTTTGTCATATTTTTTTTTTCAAATGAGATGACCATTGCTTTTTCTTTTTTAGCTTGTTAATGTTGAAGTACTTTGGTTTTCCAACATTAAACTAACCCTGAATTGCTAGGATAAATCTCACTCTGGTATGATGTTTTATACTTTTTATGTTTTTGGGTTTGATATACTAAAGTTTTATTTGGAATTTTTGCTTCTGTTTTAATGAAGGATATTTATCATCTGTGGTTTTCTTGTAATGTCCTTGCTTCATTTTCTGGAAGAGTTTGTGTTAAAATTGGTATCAATTTTTTTTTCTGTTTGGTAGAATTCACCAGTGAAAGCTATCTAGGCCTGGAGTTGTCTTTGTGGGAAGGTTTTTAACTACAAATTCAGTCTTTAATACATATCAAACTAGTCAAGTTATTTATTTCTTCTTGCACTAGCTTTGGTAGTTTAGGTCTTTTAAGAAATTTGCCCAGTTTATTAGCATAAAGTTGCTCATAACATTCCCTTATTATCTTTTTAGCATCTGTAGAATTTATAGTGATATCTGGCCCTGTCATTCTTGATACTAGTACAAATTACAATTGTCTTCTTTTTTTCAGTTAAGTCTAATTAGAGATTTTATCTTAAAAAATCAGAGTTTTCGGTTCCATTTATTTTCTGTTTTTGTTCCAATTTTATTACTTCCTTCTACTTATTTTAGGTTTTATTTCCTTTTCTTTTTCTAGTCTCCTAAGGTGAAAGCTGAGATAAATGATTTGAGACCTGGGTGTTCTGTTCCGTTCTATGCGGATTTTTGAATTTCAGTACTTTAAAGTTGTTTTTATACTGTCTTCTTTTATGTTGTTTCCTATGAGAAATCTGCTTTCATTCGTATCTCTCTTCCTCTGTAAGTAAGTGTCTTTTTATTTTTTCTGGCTGCTTTTAAGATTTTTCTACTGATTACTTGTTTTGGGCTGTATGATTAAGATGTGCCTTAGTGTAGTTTTCATATTTCTTATGCTTGTGTTTATTGAGCTACTTAGGTTTACAGTTTTTGTCAACTTTGGAAGTTTGACATTTCTTCAAATATTTTTTCTGTCTCACTTTTCAGGAGCTCTGTTTAAAGTTAGGCTCACTCATGCATTGTTCATTTAAACATTTGTTCTTATTTTTCATTTTAGGTAGTTTATATTTCAATGTCTTTAAGTTCACTAATCTTTTCTTTTGCAAAAACTAATCTGTACTTAATCCCATTCAGATATTTTCAATCTATTCATCTTAGTTTACATCTACAGAAGTATCATTTAGGTCATTTTAAAAAAAATGTATATGTATACTTTTTATTTCTACTTAACTTTTTGAACATATAGGATATATGTATTATAAATGTGTTAATGCCCTTGGTTACTAACTCTTATGTTTATGTCAGTTCTGGATCAGTTTTGATTGATTGTTTGATTTCATTATGGGTAGTTTTTTTTCTACTTTTTTAGATGTTTGGTAATTTTTTATTGGATTCTAGACATTGTAAACTCTGGGCATTGGATAGTTTCGTATTTTAAATGTTCTTGAGCTTGCTTCTGTGATGAAGGTAAGTCACTTGGAAACAGTTTGATCCTTTTGAGTTTTGTTTAAATGCAGGATTGGAGGAGCGCTCAGGCTAGTGCTAATTACTTCCCACTCTTAAAGAAGGACCTCTGTATCCTGCTCAGTGCTCCATGAATCATGAGTTTTTCTTGTCTGTCCATTGGGAACATGCACTATTCCCAGCTCTGTATCGGTTCCCAGTACTGTTCTCTGTAATCCTTTTTTATGGTTCTTGCCCTAGCCTCAGGTAGTTTCTTCTTGCACAAGCATTGTTGGTACCAAGCTGAATACTTACAGGAGAACTTCTGCAGGTTTCTAGAGTTTTCTCTCAACTCTTTCTTCTCTGGTGTTCTGTTCTGGAAATTATAGCTGCCTCAGTCTGCCTGGACTCTTAATTTCATCCCTTCAAATCAAGGACTGGACTATGCTGGGCCTGGGAATTTTCTCAAGGTATTAAGCTGGATATCTTGTAGGGTTTACTTCACTTGTTTTCAGATAGTCAGAGATCACTTCTTCTATTGCTTGATAGTCTAGTATATTGAAAACCATTATTTCATATATTGCATCTGTTTTTATACTTGCTTCGGGTAGTAGGGTAAATCTGGTCTCTATTTCACTATATTGTCCATAGTTAGTTTCTTGAATGGCTATTTTAGGTTAGATGATTAAAGAGTCTTCCCAAAGAGATGCATGCCCTTTAAGCTGAGATTTGAATGACAAAGAGAAGACAACAGAATACTGTGGCATTAAGAAAAGTTAGTCCAAAGACCCTAAAGTAAGAATGAACTTCACCTGTTTAGGTAACCAGATAAAGGCAACTGTCTCAGTCAAGGGCAGGAGTGATATAGTATGCTCTTGAAGAGGTGCGTGGGGACTCTTGAAAGAGGTACATGGGGACCTCTGGTGAAGAGTTTGCATTTAAACCTAAATATCATGGGAAACTGTAGGAGAGTTTAAAGCAGGGAGTGGCACGATCTGGTTTACATTTTAATACCATTATTCTGGCTGCTGTGAAGATAATGGATTGTAGAGGTGCAAGAGTAGTAGCAGTGAGACTTGTTAAAAGGTCATTACAGTCATGTATCACTTAACAACAGGGATACATTCTTAGAAATGTGTCATTAGGTGATTTTTTCATTGTGTGAACATCATAGAGTACACATAAACAAAACTAGATGTTGTAGCCTACTACACACCTAGGCTGTGTAGTATAGCCTATTGCTTCTAGACTACAAGCCAGTACAGCAGGTTAATGTACTGAATACTGTATGCAGTTATAATGCAATGGTAAGTATCTAAACATAGAAAAAGTACAGTAAAAAATATAAAGCAAAGTTTCTGTGTGTCTGTGCACATGTGTTTTGGGGAGTGAGAGAGGGCTGTGGAGGAAGGTGATATTGAGAGGGAGGAAGGGGAAGAGGAAAGGAAGAAAAGGAAAGAAAAAGAGAGCTGAGAATAGAGATCCAGAGAAATTAAATCTTGAGG